GTTCTTAGCCATTACCGAAAGGCTCAGGACGATTACGTCCCTAGGCGTTGCCGAGTAGGCTCGGGACTACTACAAGTCCTTGCCGTTACCGAAAGGCTCAGGACGATTACGTCCCTAGGCGTTGCCGAGTAGACTCAGGACTACTACAAGTCCTTAGGCGTTGCCGAGACTGAGATCACTCTGGACATCGGTATGCGTCAATAATCATTTACATCGCGACAAACATACACATATTGCATTGAACATTAGATAGTGTGAAACAATTATTTATTTGTGTGTTAATAAACAGTAATCTATACGAAAAAACTGTGTGGATATTAATGTTATCCTCCTGAAGAGAACACACACGTTGCAAAACCGGTCAAGAAATACTTGGAAGGAGTAAAGTGGGAAATTCTGCCCCACCCGCCGCATTCACCAGATATTGCTCCTTCAGATTTCCATTTGTTCCGATCCATGCAGTCGGCCCTTTCTGGAGAACGATTCAATTCTTATGAAGATATCAAAAAATGGCTTGATGAATGGATCGCTTCAAAAGAACCAGATTTTTTCATTCGAGGAATCCGTTTATTACCGGGAAAGTGGAAGAAAGTTGTCGCTTCCAAAGGAGTATACTTTGAATAAACTCACTTATATAGATTTTTTTAAATAAACACATCTTTTTCTTTTCAAAAAGGGCGGAAACTTATTCCCATACCCAATAATTTCATTCTATCTGATCTCCTCATATTAATCAGTCTTTATCAATTTCGTAAGATAATAAGTGACTTAAAATTATGAAAAGAACTAATAAGGAGCATACAGCCACAACGCCAGCTATAAGTAGTAAAAATATATTCAATTTAAATCAAGTAAACATTTCGGTCACTATTTGACCATCATCAGATAGTGACCGAAACGTTTACTTGATTTAAATTGAATATATTTTTGCTACTTATAGCTGGCGTTGTAGCTGTATGCTCCTTATTAGTTCCTTTATCAATTTACCTATGCATGCTCTCATTCGAACGTTGACAGGTGATAAATATCATAAATAGCCAAATAAAAACGTAAATAGGTGAATAGGTGAAACATTGGAAGATGGATAGATAACATCGATAGGTGAATAGATAATATAGATATATAAGTAAATATGTAAATAAATAAAATAATGTACACAAACAGATGAAATGTAGAAGAATTGGGAAAGATATGCAGAAACGATGCGAAGAAGTGCAGAACAAATGCGGAAGAGATGTAAAAGAAATGTAGAAGTGGTACGGAAAAGATGCGGAAAAGGTGCAAAAGAGTTGCGGAAACGGTAAAACTCAGATGCGGAGAGGTGCAAAAGAAATGCGAAATTAATACGGGAGAGGTGTCAGAGAGATGTGGTACTGTTGTAGAAAAAGTGCAGAAAAGGTACATGAAAAATGTAGAAGAGATGCCAGAAGGATGCGAGAGAAAATCTGAAAAAGTGCAGAAGAGGTGCAGTAAAAGTTCAGAAAAGATGTAGAATAAGTGTAGAAAAGGTATAAAAAAAGTGCAGAAAAGATGTAGAAAAAGTGCAGAAAAAGTGCAGAAAAAAGATGTAGTAAAAGGGGACAAATTTTATCGATATTATATCCCAGAGCTCTGATTGGACGGCTCGTTATTCCCTGTTGCCTGTGCCTATTGCCTGTGTCTATTGTATTTCCAGCTTTAGTGTACACTTTTTGAACTAGTGCAATCAGTTCAGAAACAGAAAACAAATTGGACACTGTAGTCTGTAGTGTCGACATCTAGAAACAGCTGTTCGTCGACACCCCCAACGCCCCCAGTCGTTCTCGACCATCATGGCTGCTTCCAGGTTGACAAAGCTGTCGAAGATGACATTTGTTAAGTGAAAAGGATTAATGAGCGTATATACATACACACACACACACGCGCGCGCGCGCGCACGCACGCACGCGCACACACACACACACACACACAAGTACTACTTATTCGAACTCGAATTAGCAGCAAGGACAGTTAATGTTTATACCTTTTTTCCTATGTCCATATTTTACGTAATGACGATCATGTAATAACTCGTGCGCGAATGTTCTCTTACGCCTTTCACCTTATGCAAACAGTACTCGGCGATTTAATTAAAACTTTATCCGAACTCTGAAACGATTACGTCCACGTGAAATGAAACAATGATGCCGATAAAGGACAATCAAGATGTGGCATGCTTTTTAGTTACCAAGCATTCTACATGGAAAGGAAAGTAAGTGCATTGTTCTTTCTTACATGTGTTCTACTGTACCTATCAATTTCAATCCATTTTAGCAATTCGATTAAAGACGTTGGAAAGATGTAGAATAATATCCAATCGGTTAATATCCAACAAATCAAATAAAATTCGATGATTGTATGATTTTAGTAAGCTTGATACACAATTATACAATAAAGAAACTATCTGTGTTTTATGAAAAATATTGCGTCTAAAAATATATTTATTTTTTAATTGTGATTTTTCAATAAAAAATAAATGAACTTTAAATTGTATATTATCTTTGTATAGATGCTCATCAAATGTCCACAAAATTAATATAAAATAAGAATGTTTTTGTTACATATTTATATATAAGAGTTATTTATATATATATATATATATATATATATTAGGTACAAGCGTATTTTCTCCATTGGTTCTATGGGAATAACAACATACAATCCTGGCACATTGGAAGTGACAAACAAATGGGAATATTCCGATTTTATAAGTGTACAGCCAATAAATAGAAATCAATTAGGATCTTATGAATTTACTATAACTGTACGTAAGGAGCGGAAAAATGAGACCATGAAGTTTAGTTCTGAGCATAGATCACACCTATTGACAGAAGCACTTAAATACAGAAACCATGTTGAAAAATCTAAAGAAATTTTGGTGAGTTTACACATATATACTTGTTCTTTTTTTCCTCTTTTCTTTCATTTTACATGTAGGTATGTATATGTTTAATCGTGTAACTTTTATAATACAATATGTATAATATTGAATATACCGCTTGGAATATATCAATTTATTTCTCTAGAGCTTCATAGCCAGTATGAAGTAATATGGAAGTAATTTTTGTGCAGAGTGTATACTGAGTATGCTAAGAGATTTTAAGGCATGTTTTCTCATGTAAATTTAAGACGAGAACTTTATATAATCATATGTTTAAAATGGCTTAGCTTCAAAGATACAGGGTGTCAAAGTTGAAAAAAAAGAATTTTGTTTTTTCTAAAAATTTTGAAAATTACTCGAATTATATTTTGATGAAAGTTTGTATATGTTTAAAGTTTCATTAAAATAACTTTAATGGTTTTCGAAATTTTCGAAAAAACGAAACTTTTTCACATCCTGTATCTTTGAAGCCGTTTGGAATCATG